CAGCCGGGGCGGTGCAGAGACAGACACACACACACTGCCAGGCACACACACACACACGGTACAGACAGACAGACACACAGCCGGGGCGGTGCAGAGACAGACACACACACACACACGGTACAGAAAGACAGACACACAGCCGGGGCGGTGCAGAGACAGACACACACACACTGCCAGGCACACACACACACACGGTACAGACAGACAGACACACAGCCGGGGCGGTGCAGAGACAGACACACACACACACACGGTACAGAAAGACAGACACACAGGCGCGCGCGCGCACACACACACACACAGATAGACAGGTAGAGACAGACACACAGGCATGCACACACACAGAGCCAGGCACACACACATTCAGCCATGTACACGTGCACACACGCAGCCAGGCTTTCACACACACAGAGCCAGGCACACACACACAGCCATGTAAACGCGCACACACACACACAGCCGGGTACACACACACGCGCAGCCAGGCACGCGGGCGCACACACACGCACACACAGAGCCAGGCACGCGCGCGCACACACACACACACACACAGAGCCAGGTACACACACACGCGTGCACACACACACACCCACACAGCCATGTACACATGCACACACACGCAGCCAGGCACACATGCGCAGCCAGGCACGTGCACGCACACACACACACACACACACGCAGCCAGGCTCTCTCTCTCTCTCTCTCTCTCTGTCTCTCTCTCTCTCACACACACACACACACACACACACACACACAGAGCCGGGTACACACACACACACACACAGACAGAGCCGGGTACATACACACACACACACACACACACACACACACACACACAGACGCGCACACACACACACACACACACGCACGCAGCCGGGCTCACACACGCACACACACACACAGAGTCACACCCGCACACAGAGCCAGGTACACACACACACACGCAGCCAGGCTTACACACACACACACACACACCCACGCTCTCTCTCTCACACACACACACACACACA